CGTGCAAGCACTTTTTGTGGGAAAATATTCCGAAACATATGTATGTATGTGTATGTGTCTGTATATGTATATGTAGATGCATATGTATATGTATATGTATACGTATAGGTGTATGTGTATATATGTATGTGTGTATAAATGTTTATGTATATGTATATGCATATGCATATGTATATGTAAATGTAAATGTATACTATATTGTCTGTGTATGTGTATGTGTATGTGTATGTGTGTATGTGTATGTGTATGCGTATGCGTATGTGAATGTGTATGTGTATGTTTATGTGTATGTGTATGTGTATGTGTATGTGTATGTGTATGTATGTATGTATGCATGCATGCATGCATGTATGTATTTATGTATGTATGTATGTATGTATGTATGTATGTATGTATGAGCAAATGAATAAATGAATGAATGAATGAATGAAGGAATGAATGAATGAATGAATGAATGTGTGTATGTATGTATATATATATATATGTAGGAGTAGGCCGGGGGAGGGCCCAGAACTGCGACCATTGGTTCGCATGGGGTGCCGTGGGGGCCTTGAGGGTCCAAGAGGGTTCAGAAGGGGCCCCGGACCCTCCCAGAGGCTCCCACGTTGGCCCAAGAGGCGCCCAAAGCGCCCCAGGCTGTCTAGAGGGTGACTGAAGAGCGCACTGAGATGGCTTCCAGACGGGCCACGTGCGCTCGAAGACAGCCCAAGACTGCCCCTAGACGGCCAAGACGGTCCACGAGGCCGCCGAGAAGGCCTTCCAAGGGCCAAAATCAAGCATTTCCGGCGGAAAAACGTAAATGTCCTAGACAGTTGCTTCTCAGTCCTACCAGCGGTCGCGACTGCCCCAGAGGCTCCCAAAATGAGCCCCAGATGGCCCAAAAGGCTCCCAAGAGGGCCCCCAGACGGCCTGAAGAGAGCTTCAGGCAGCACAAGAGAGCTCCAACACGGCCCAAGAGAGCCCCCAGGAAGCCCGAGGGGGCCACCGCAGGATCCCTACATGGTCTGAGAGGGCCTCAAGACGGGCTCAGGTCCCCACGACGGGCGAAGAGGGACCCGGAACGGCCGAACTGGGCCCCCAAAGGGTCCAAAAAAAAACTTACCAGGACTCCCTGAAGACGGCTCGGGGGTGGACCGACCTCCTACCCTGACACGTCGCTTAGCGAATTGGCCGTTTTCGGTTCGCGAGAGGGCGTCGCGGCCGTCAGTTTTGCGGGTTCAGGTCCGTCGGTTTCGGTCCCAGGCCGTTTTCATTAAAGGGAGGCTTACTAAAGGGAGGTTTGTCCACCGCCGAACGGTCCAGGAGGCCGCTGAGAAGGCTCCCGGGTGCAAAAAACAAGCATATCCAATTGAAAAACGTACATTTCTATGACATTCGTTTCTTATGTTCCATCGGCGGCCACGTCGGCTGCAAAGGCTCCCCAAATCGGCGCCACAGGGCCCACGAGGCCCTCAAGAGGGCTCCAAGACAGCCTCAAGAGAGTGTTGAGCAGCACAAGAGAGCTCCAAAACAGCCCGAAATAGTCCCCAGGGATCCTGAGGGAGCCACCGGAGTATCCCTACATGGTCGGAGAGGGCTCCATGAGGGCCCCAAGACGGCTCAGCTACCCATGACATGCTAAGAGGGACTTGGACATCCGAAATGGATTCCCAGACGGGCCACCAAAGGCCCAAAGGACCCCCCCACGACTGTCCAAGAGGCCGCTGAGAAGGCCCTCCAAAGGCAAGAATCAAGCGTTTCCTATTAGAAAAACGTATATTTCTGGGAGCTTCGCTTTTGAGCTCTACCAGCAGTCGCGACGGCCCAAGAGGTTACCAAAATGGGCCCCAGACGGCCCCACAGGCCCCAAAGAGGGTTCCAAGATGGTCTGAAGACAGCTTCAAGCGGCACAGAAGAGCTACAAGACGGCCCAAGAGAGTCCTCAGGAAGCCCGAAGGGGCCACCAGAGGATTCCCACATGGTTGGAGAGGGCCCCAGGAGGGCTCCAAGACGGGCTGAGCTCCCCACGACGAGCCAAGAGGGACCCAGAACGGCCGAAATGGGCCCTCAGACGGGCCAACAGAGGCCCCAAAGGATTCCAAAGGAAGGCCCAGAGAGGCTCCAGAGATTGCCACAATGCTTCCAAAAAGTCTCCCGGCACGCGTTCCAGTAGGCACCCGTGTACTGGGTGCGCTGAGAGAATACAGGAGGAGGAGGACAAGGAGGAGGAGGAGCAGGAGGAGGAGGAGGAGGAGGAGGAGGAGGAAAAAGAGGGGGAGGAGGAGGTGGGAGAGGAGGAGGAGGAGGAGGAAGAGGAGGAGGAGGAGCAGGAGGAGGAGCAGGAGGAGGAGCAGGAGGAGGAAGACCCCCCGAGATGGCCCGAGAGACCCCGAGACAGCCAAAGATCTTTCAGAATTGCCGAAATGGTCCCAAACGGCACCAGAGCCCACCAAGACGCCCCAGGAGGCCTCCAAGCAGGTTCCCAAGAGGGCAGCAAGAGACAAACAATGTGATTGTTTGAATTACTTTTGAAGGTTTTTGGGGTTCTCGCCTTCTTGGCTTCCCGACGCTGCAAGACGGCCCAGGAGGCCCCCAAGGTCGCCCCAAGACGGCCGAAAAGAAACCACAGTCGCGTCCAGAAGCTCCCAAGACGGCTCCAAAACGACCCGGGATGCTCTGAGAACGGCCCTGGAGGCCGCCAAGATGGTCCAAGATGACCCCAAGATGGGCCCAAAGGCCTCCAAGACGCTTCCACGACGCACCAAAACGGCTCCCAATAGAGCCGTGTGAAGGGTGTGCCGCGATAGCCGGAGAGAGGCCGTGAGCATTGTGTCCCTAGAACCGTTCGTGGAGCTCCAGGAGGAGGCACGCTCAGTGTGAGGGGCGCGCCGCCCTTGGCGGCGCGCCGACCTCCACAGGCACAGAACAACACTGTTGACATCGTTCTTGTAAAATTATCTTGTTCTCTGATTCTCGGGCTCGGGGAGGGATGCTGAGGACGAGGAGGGAAGGGGAGCGCAGAATGAAGATGGCTCGGGAGGAGGAAGAGGTGAAGTAGATGAAGGAACACAAGGAGGGAAACACCGAAGAGCGGGGAAGACAGGAAGGAGGAGGAGGAGGAGAAGGAGGAGGAAGAGAAGGAGGAGGAGGTGAAGGAACAGGGATCCCTTTCAGGGATATGCCGACGAGGAAAAGGATGAGTATAACATGATGAGAATGGGAGGAGGGGAAGGGGACTGCAGTGGACCCTGGATGATGACGGCGATGACGCTGACGATGATGATGACGACGCCGACGACGACGCCGACGACGACCAACAAGATGCTGATGATGCGGATGATGATGCTGAAAAGTACGATGTCGATGATGGCGATGGTGATCACGATGCTGATGATAACGGTGATAATGATGATTGTTGTGAGGGTGATGGTGAAGGTGACCCTGACGATGACGATGAAGATGACGGGGATGAGGATGGCAATGATGACGATGATCATGACCCTAGCTAGAACTTGAGCGCGCGCGATGGTTTCATTCTATATCTACATATGTCTATAGAGTCGTTTGCCAAGGACAGTCGCCCCTCGAAGATACTCTCGAGCTGTGGAAACCCACAGTCCAAGCATGTCGCGATCTCACTGTTACTTCCGCCGGCCCTTCCACCCGCGGATCCGCCGCCGCTCTGCTCGCGCCGGCTCTTCGAAGCCTTGGGCCGAGAGCGAGGATGTGCCGAAGGCGGGGAGGTCTCCGCAGCGCGCCAGATGGGGGACCCACGGGCCCGTGGCACGCCGCAGGGGGTCGCACAGAATCCTCTTGCGGTCGGGGCACTCGCCTGGGCGGGGAGGGGCGGGGGGGGAAGCGCCCGACGAGGCCTCCGAGGGTGGAGCGTCGCCGCCTAATTAACATCCGTGGTCTCGCCAGCAATGTAGAGCACGGTGCTGGGGTCGGCGTTTTTTGGGGGCGCGCCGAGACAACAAAAAGCACGGCGGGAGCTCTCTTGCCGTGTTCGGCCTCCGCGAGCCCTCGCGGGGCACAGGGAGCGCCAAACACCGACCCAGAATGGAAGGCTGGTCCCAGGGGAGGAGAAGGTCGGGATTTCCGGCTGGTCTGGAGCAAACCAGGGCATCGGATGTTTGGGTAATCGTCCTTTCCGAGCGCCACCGACGCCGATCGTGTGTGTATGTGTGCGTTCCCCTTCGCGCACGTGCGCCTCAGAGGAGTAAGAAGTCATAATGTTGATGATGATAATAATAATAATAATAATAATAATAATAATGATGATGATGATGATGATGATGATGATGATGATGACGATGATGATGATGATGGTGGTGGTGGTGGTGATGGTGATGGTGATGGTCATGGTGATGGTAATGGTGAGAGTGATGGTGATGGTGATGGTGACGGTGATGATGATGGTGGTAATGGTGATGATGATGGTGATGACGATGGTGATGATGATGGTGATGGTGGTGATGATGATGGTGGTGGTGGCGGGCGATGATGATGATGAGGAGGAGGAGGAGCACGATGGTGGTGGCGATGGTGATGGTGATGATGCTGATGCTGATGCCGATGCTGGTCTTGATGATCATGATGGTGATTGTGATGATGATGGTGGTGATGCCGATGATAATGATGATGATGATGATGATGATGATGATGATGCTGATGCTGATGCTGATGAGGATGGTGATGGTGATGGTGATGCTGATGCTGATGCTGATGCTGATGCTGATGCTGATGCTGATGCTGCTGATAGTGATAGTGATACTTGTGATGATGATGATGTTGTTGATGCTGCTGCTGATGATGACGATGATGATGATGATGATACGTTCCAGGATTCCCCTGATTTTCCTATTCTTCCACACGGGCTCCAGAAGCGAGGGCCGTTAACGTACTCCAGAATGCCTGGAACGCAGGTTGGGCCAATCGTAGCATGACGTCGTGGTCGTCCCAGTGCTTCTCGCCCGGAGCGTCGGGATGGCGGCCCGCCGATCCCTCTGCCGTGCCGCCCGAGCCGTTTTCGCGCTGAGCCACCCGCGGGCGGGCGCCATGGTTTTGTTTCGGGGGCGGAGGGGCTCCCCGAGACGTCGGGCGCGGGCAGCTGCCATCCTGGCGTCGGCTGCGGCTCGAGGGGGGGGGGCATCGGGATCGGCGCAGGAGTTGCGGTCAGGACATCTGGCTCAGCGTGTCGCTCCGTGGGCTCTTGCCCACTGCGCTTCGGAGTGACACGCTGTCGGCAATCCGGTCCCGAGGCGTCAACGTCCCCAGCTGTTCCAAGCCTCCCGCGGAGCGGAGCAGAGCGACACGCGATCCGCCTGCAAGGCACATCGTGGCGCCGGGGCCGCCTCGGCGACACGCCAAGCAAAAGTTCAGGAGGGAAAAAACACACAGACACAATTAATCGTCGATTTCCCAGAAAATATGGGAAAATATGGGAAGTGGTAGGGAAGACAAAAACCCAGAAAATATAGGAAAATATGGGGAATCTGTTTATTTGTGTGTATTTATTTGTGTGTCCCAGTTTCCCTTCAAAAGTGCCCGACCGCAGAGAACCAAGCTTCGGGAGAGACATGAACTTGCGGAGGCCCGCGCGGACTTGTTGGGTCGTCGCTGGGCCCCTCTGCCCACACCCCTGGGAGACGCAGCTGGCGTCGCCCTCGACGCGCTCTGCGCACTGGGAAGCTCGTCTGTGGGCGGGGCGGGGGGGGGGGGTGCGGGAGTTCCCCGCACACCTGAGGACTCGGAACGCTTATCCCCCAAGCAGGGGTTGCGTTGATCAATAATTGCACGGGTATGGGGAGGTTTCGCACCACATTGCTCACACAGGCTTACATCACATAGCTCAAACACATAGCCTACATCACATCACTTACGCCACATAGCATGCACCAGATAGCTCGCACCATATTGCTTACGACTCCACAGTTCAATCGGGCACGGTTGGGGGTCCACCCTGGCAGACATGATTATGGTGTCGTGTTGGAGTATTTTGAATCAGGGTCAGTGCAAAAGAGCTCTCCACTCCCTTGGATACGTGTCATGTGTTTCCCCAGGCTCAGCCGTGTCGCGCTGTGCTGCAACAGGGTCGATGCTAGCTAGCCCAAAGAGCTCGGCTCGGTGCTCGATCGTGCCCTGGCGTGCGCGGTAGGACCAGAGCAGCTAAGTTATTGGGAAATCCTACGCCCTGCGTTTCCACTCCCATATGTCCACCTTTCTTTCCGTTGTTGATCGGGGTCTGATCGCAGACGCAAGCGCTTGTCCTGTAGGTGTTTTCTGTGACCTTCGCCCTGGTCTGCATAGTTCACGGGATTGTGAGCGTATGGTTTCTTGCATTATCTTTCTTCCCAGCCCTCTTGTCCGCATTCGGTATTTGCATGGGTTTGCGCTGCCGACTTCACTGTGCGTCCTATGTTGGCCTCGCCGTTGCATGCGTGTCTATGTTGGCAGCCCCGAAGGATTAATACATTCAAATCGACTACAGTATACTCCTGCAGGAACCGCGAAGGAGCGAGACCACCGAGGATGGAGGGCCGACACGCCTAGTCTGTATAGGAGGCGGAAGAAGCATTTGCCGCCCGCGTGCCGTAGCGTGCCGTGCCGTATCAGTGCGTGTGCCGTGCCGTGTCCGCGTGCCGTGCCGCGTCTACGTGCCGTGCTCGTTGGTGGATGGCCCGCCACCATTTGGTTTCTCATGGAGCGTTGGCGTGCAGAGTCCCTATGCTTCGGAGGAGGAAAAAGTACCCATACCTCTACCCTTCTCTCATTGTCCCCTGCTTGGGCCTCCTTGGAGGACCTCGTCGCGACCGCTGGATTCGCCTCGAAATCCTGGTCAGAACGCACCCCAGGAGAGGTCCGAGGAGTAGCGGTATCGGTACCTTGGTTTCCCCAATGCTGGTGCGTACACGACGAGTTGTTTGGTTCAGGATGACACAGAACTAATGCTACGCCATCGCAACGCAAAGCGGTAAAGCATGGCGAGGGCGTGCGAGACAACGCAATACGCGTCAATGCTAGATGTGATACAACAAGGCCAGGGAAAACACATCATCGCACGCACAAACAAACAACGCATGCAAGCCAAGTCGCATACCATCTATCAAAGCGAATGTAGGGTATGCAGAGCTAGCCTTGTTTTGTGTGTACAGGGCTAGCGTTCGCTGTCGTTGGTTAGCCCATCTATGCAACGCGGACATACACGCCAAATCGTACGCATCTCAGCGCAGTCATGCCAAGTTCTGGCGCAGAGACGTTTACTCTTGGTACTGTGCCCGCACAACAAGAACATGCCAAGCATAGACAGCGCAGCGCACGACACAGACGTGTACGAGCAGATGAGCATCAAGAAGCGGAGAAGCAAACGCGCACGCATTATCGAAAATGTATCGAATGGCATGTGGCATCTAGCGTACCGTCATGGTTAAAGGGAAAAGCAATCACCGGTATGAGATGAGAGCGGCCAGCACAGTCCAAATTGGTCGTCGCATGGACAAGCCACATATCACCGTCATCACATTATTGATCCTCTCTCTCAAAACCACCCGATTGCAATCGCGCCTGAAATATACTCAATCCTGGAATCAGGAATGCTCGGATACAGTCACACTTGAAGCGAACAGCGCACAGACAAGCCGTGAGTTGCGAATGTTGTATGACAGCGTTGAGGGACGGCCATCTGGGAGGGAGTGCTTAGCCGTTGCGGTTTGCAAGTTGCGAGGGGAGGCTTCGACTTTCTGCTTGAGGTCAACGCCTACTTTCCCAGATGCAGTCTTTCAGCTGCCTGCCAGGCTCCCCTGTGGCGGGTGCAAAGAGAGGGTTGATTGTGGACGACGGAAAGATCAGGCTCTTAGACCAGGATGGGGATTTGGTTGCGAAGGATATGCCACATGGAGGGATGGTAGCTCAATGACCACCCGCTCGCTGATGTTCAGTCTTTCCTGGGCTACCCCTGTTTTGCCAGACACAGTTTGGAATGGTCGCAAGGAGAATTGTACGAGGGACAGGGGAATAGCACCATGGAGAACAGAGGCGACCTAGACGGCGAAGTACAGGGTCGATTCGATTCGATATCGGTTCCGGCCAGCCAGACCTGACTCAATTCCGACATTGCGAGGATCAGAAGCAGCCCGATGTTTGCATGGCGCAGTTGTGTATCTTTGCGCGGCTGATCCGATTATATTCCGATTCCATGTCGATGCAGCCCGATCCGACGCACATTCCGATTCGATCAGATTTTCCGATTCGATTCCGGCTGATCTCGAAGTATTGGTTGACCGTCCCAGAGAGGTGCCAGCAACGCCAGCGTAATTATTAAGGGTTTCCGGAGGCAGGCCACTCAGAGACGTCGGCGGCGGATCGGAATGTTTGCGCGAGCAGTGGGGTTGACCATTTCAAGTTCGGCAAGGCGAATTGCACCCCATAGGTTACACAACATAGATTGCACAAAACATACATTGCAGAACATGGATTGCACAACGCATAGGTTGCAACACATGTATATTACCACAAAGATTACACAATACATCGATAGCAAAGAACACAGGGTGCACCACATATCTTGCACAGGCATATGTTGCGCAACACACGTATATTGCACTACGTGTGCTGCACCACATCACTTGCACCACATGAATTGCCCAACGCATGTGGCTAAAAACACACTGTTTGGGGTCTACGCTGGTTAAGCATCTTCTTGTTCTAAGAACATGTCGTGGTAGACCTGCAGGAGCGCTGGGACGGTCGGTCCTTGCTCGAGGTCCGCCCGCCCCCGTAAAGCCTAGCCCGCCTGGCGATCGCGAGGCTGCTGCGCAGGAGCGCGCTGACCTCGCTTGCGGCGGGCGCGGCGGTGGCCTCAGGAGGCGTCGGCGGCGCGTCGGCGGAGGATCTTCGGGGAGTCGAGGCGTCCCGACTGGCGTGCTCAGATGACAACAGGGAAGCTGACTGACGGCCAGGGGATTGGTGCTGGGCTGGAGAGGGGAGTAAGAGGGCAAGGGGGAGCGGGGAGGGACTACACGTAAGAGTGGCCCTTCGCTAGAGTGATCTTTGGTGTTGGCCCCGAGGGGGTCTGGTGATTTTCTTTTGAACGGAGCTTGAACTCGCGTCGGCACCAGTATCGCGTGACTGCGCTCGTATCTGAGCACGACAGGTTTCCCCCCCCTTGCAATCGACAGCAACGCATACGCATCGCGCCTTAGAGTGTGCTTGGGTTTCCCGAAGGGGGGCTGGTCGACTGGACGGCGCGTTTTCCGCCAGGAACTGTCCCGAATCCCCGCCCAAATCCCAAATCGATGGTTTGAATATGCTCGGGTATCTTTGAATATATTCGAGTATGTATGGTAATATTGAAATGTGTTTGAATGTCTGTTCTGTTTGATGACCACTGGGGATCTTCACGATTGCAAGGTACCCCAAGATAATCAAACATGGTCCAGGCCTGCGGATGGGGCTGGTTTTGGCCATGACGCCAGACTTGGTCAGACGTAATCGCGATGCGGCCCAGCAGTGCCAGTCCTCATCGTGGTGGCCCCCAGCAGCGTCTGCTTTCGCAGTGCCTTCGATGTGCCATTCGGGGCGTTCGAATCCAATTAGCGAAATTCCGCGGTTGCCCGCTGGCTCAAGAATCTTTCGAGTGGCGTCCCGCCGATCGCTGATGCGGCGCGGCAGCATTGCCTTGCCAGGTTGCGTTGGGACCCCACGGGCGCCCCTGAAGCCGCGCACCAAAGGCCAATCTAGCCGTGGGCCACTCCTACGTGCAGAGGAGCAGGGAGCCCCGACCTCCGACGATTCTCAGCCTCCAGGCAACCCAAGCGGGGTCCGAGAGAGTAGAGGCGCTGAGATCACCCCTTGGGCTGCCAAGGGGGACAGGAGGGCTCGAAGTGGACACGAAGGGGGTGTGGGGTGTATCTGGCCTAAGCTAGCTAGCCTCCTTAGGATAATCGGGGTGGTCGGATGACTCCGCGAAGTGGGTGCCGCCCACTTAGACCAGGTCAGCCCCCCAAAACACACTCACACACACACACATACACACACATTCGGCATCTGCAACTTACGTATACGGCAGGTTAGGCCAGATATAACAGACCTTAGTTAGCATCCACTTAATCCCCTGTGTCCCCTGAGCAACCCCCGCGGTCATCCAGGTGGGTGTCGGAGGATCGCGCCGCATCGCCGATGCAACGGCGATGCGGCTCGATGTGGAGCCCGATGTTCTCCACGCCGACGTCGCATGCACTGGCGTTGCGACGCCATCCTCCGACCCCATCTGCTCGGACCCCACTGGGGAGGCCCCTGAGAGGAGAGTGTCGGGGGCGTCGAGGCCCCCAGACCGGGGCGAGGCAACAAAAAGATCGCGGCGGTCCTGACGGCCTCCAGGCCGAAATCGTACCACAGCTGACAGCTGTGGCACGATTTCGGCCTTGAGGCCGTCTCCCGGCCCCGAGGCCTTCCGAAACCTGCTCGGGATGAAAAGTCGGCCCCGGGCAAGGGGTCAAGAGAGGAGAGGCCACCCTGACCATCAAAGCCGAGCAAAAACCAGGGCGGTGTCTGGCAGGCGATCGCAAGCATGGATCAAGGGGGCCTGGATTGGCGACGGGTCCCGTTCTCACTGGAAGTCGCGGAACGAGGCGGCACCGGCCGCATTTTGGGGAGGGCCCCTCCCCCGATCCATAGATTTGGCGACCGCGTGCCAAATCCATGGATCGTTAATCCATGTTTGCGCGCCCGCGAGTTCTATCCGCATGTTTGACCTCCTGGAGGCCCTCGCTGGCCCTCGGGACCGTCAGAAGCAGCCCGGGATGAGAAGCCCGTCCAGGGGAAAAACGGTGGGTCGGGGTGGGGGCGTCTTGAAATGAGGACGTATTGAAATGCTGGGGGAGGGGGGTGAGGACAAGCTTCATGTATTTTGACCGGGGCCGTGACACCTCCTCCCAGATGTCATGGACCCTTTTGTCCTCGTCTTCTCTCCGTAGGTTCACTGGGACCCCGTCGTCCGCATGCCTCGGGCAATGGTGCGCAGGCGCACCTCTTCTCATGGATTATGGAGGCCGTTTCCCAACCCCGGCACAGTGAGACAGCGGCTCAGGATGAAAGATTGGCCCCGGTCCAGGAGACAGCGGCTCAGGATGAAAGAGTGGCCACGAAATGGCGACGTCGGATGGGAGGGGAGATAGAGAGAGAGAGAGAGAAAGCAGGCTGAATTAGTCGTGACGCCCGCAGCATGCGACGATCCACGATGGTTCGGCCGCATGCCAACAGACGGCTCACATGACCCCAAGTCTAGCTGGCTGCGGATCTCTGAAAGTTTTAGCTCCCCCTCGACCCTCAGCACCAGCCTTCATGGGGAAAGGGGGGATCGGATCAACATATGACGTCGCCATGCCTTTCAGCGCGATGACCACCGCTGCTCCTACGGCTGTAGTGTACTGCCCTTGGCCGCTGCCGTGGCAGCCGCCAAGCCTGACCCACCGAGGCTCACAGGGGCCGAGGTCGACTCCACCAAGGGGCATCAATTGGCACCTCCCGTCAACAGATGGATCCAGATATCACGCTCATGCAGTAGTCTGAGAGCCACGCCGGACGCTTCAACGAGATGGTTGAACCCACCCTCAACCTCAGCAGCACCAGGGCCCCAGAAACAGCACGCCAACAGCCACGCGAGGACAAGTCACCACGCCCGTCCACAACAAGCCAGGAGCATAAACACATCCCCACAGTCCCAACCCGCAGCACAGCCCGCATGGGTCTAGCGTCCAGAGCGCACATCCGCAGGACTTTCCTGGGTGGGCCCACGACGGACGACCGCGTCAACGACTTAAGTTGGAGCAGTCCAGCAAGCGAGTGCGGGCAGTGCTGGTGTCTCGCCCCTCGAAGATCACTGTCCCCCTACCTGGGGAAGCCAAAAGGTACAGATACTGCTACTCCACGGACCTCTTCCAGGGGTGGGTTCTGACCCGTTGCGACGAGAGCTTCCCAGGAGGCCTCCGAAGGCGAAAACGAGGCAAAGGTAGCGGTACTGGTACCTCTTCCTCCTCTGGCTACCCTCGCATCCGAGAGGGGATTGAACAGGAGGAGAAGTAGGAGGAGGAGGAGGAGGAGGAGGAGGAGGAGGAGGAGTCACTCCAGGAAGAGGAAAAGTGTTTGGCCTTGTGCGCGCGGAGGGCCCTTCCCCAGAAACAAAGCCGATGGCTCGGCAGGAGGAGCTGTCCGCGACACGTCTCCAAGGCCGCAGGTCCACAAGCAGGGGTCAGGGAAAGCCGCACGCCGAGGAGGGCATGCGGGGAAGGCAAATAAGAGGCGCTACTGCGTATTGCTATGGAGCAGAAGAATCCCACAAGAGTCGTTGGCAAAGCCACATCCTGAGGAAGGCATGCGGGGAAGGCCAACAAGGAGGCGCGACTGTTCTGGAGCGGAAGCAGCCCACAGAAGATGCTGGCAAAGCCGCACCCCGAAGAGGGCATGATGGGAAGGCAAGCGAGGAGGCGCCACTGTTCTGGAGCAGAGGAAACCTCAGGAGATGTTGACAACGCCACACCGCGAGGAAGCCACCGGGGGAAGGCCAAAACGGAGGCGCGATTGTTCTGGAGCAGAAGAAGCCTACAGGAGATACTGGCAAAGCCACATCCTGAGGAAGGCATGCGGGGAAGGCAAACGAGGAGGCGCCACTGTTCTGGAGCAGAATGAGCGCACAAGAGATGCAGGCAAAGCCGCACCCCGAGGAAGACATCCGGGGAAGGCAAAAAAGGATGTGCGCCTGTCCTGGAGCAGAAGATGCCCACAGGAGATACTGGCAAAGCCGCACCCCGAGGAGGGCATGCGGGGAAGGCCAACAAGGAGGCGCTACCTAGTGTTCTGTAGCAGAAGAGAGGAGGGGTACCGAGAAGGCGGGCTGGACGGGCGGGCAGGAAGGAATGAGTATAGAGAATGAGCATGAACGTCTCATGATGTCGTATCAGCATTCAGCTGTCTTACAAATTCGCGGCTGACGCAAAGATTGTTGTTTCATCCTTTGGCGCTTGACGGTCGGTAGCCCGCCCCCCCCCACGGAGAACAGTAACGAGCGTGCGTATGGGGAGGGGCATGGCCCCCCGCCACACATGCTGGCGCTCGCGCGCATAGTATGGCGATCGCACCAGCGCACCCCTTTCCCGACGAAGCGTTTCCGTTACCCGGGTGGCCAACCCTATTTTTTCTTTCGGAGAATGGCCGCTACCGGAAACTACAATAAACACCCATGTCACCTTGAAGTAGTGGAGACCGTGAACAGTAGCATTGGTCATTCACGATGGCGGTGATGATCATTGTAAAACAGTGGTTTGCTTGCGCGACGGATTGATGGATTCTGAATTGCTTTGTTCGCTCAGGGCAGGGACCAGCTTGAGCGAGTTTGAGCACCCTCTGTGCTCCCCCCAGCTCGAACCAGTTTTCTGCATGAGCGGGCTGAATGTCGCTTGGACGACGGACAGCTTCCCCCCGTACGCAATCAATAACATCAGAATACCATAGAGGTCAAAGCATCTGGAAATTGATTGTATCCAGTCTTCCATCATTATCTGAGTTGGATTACCCGATTCAAGTTGAAGCATGATCCAACTGATTGAGGACATGTATTAAGATAGATGCGAAATAAAGTATGGAAAGGGTGCAGACGATTATGAGTGTGACGATGGTGATGGTGATGTTGCTAGTAATAGTAGTGACAATGATGGTGGTAGCGATGGTAATGATGATGATGATGATGATGATGACGATGATGATGATGATGATGGTGGTGGTGATGATGGTGGTGATATGATGGTGCTGTTGCTGCTGGTGATGATGATGATGGTGATGCTGATGCTGCGACTGATGGTGGTGATGATGATGAGAATGACAACTGTAATAATTTCGACTGGGGTGAATACTGGAGCAATAGAAGTTAGAACGGTGATACCACTCGAAGGGCAACTGTTTAAACTGCAACGAATGTTGATAGGTGGGCGCTCTAGACAGGGCCTCGCCTTCGAGGAATCGAGGAGTTTGCCTCCCTGGACAGCTTTTCATCCTGAGTGCTGCGAGACGGTCCCAGGGCCAAGGAGGTGCCCCAGGGGCCCGAAGATGGCGAAAGACTCCGGTCCCGCTTCTTCCAGGACCCCATGTTTTTCGTGCTGATCCGCTTGTGGAAGGCCAGCAGAAGCTGGCGTTAGTAAGAAGTGAACCTCCTAGATGGGGTCGGAGTAGGTGGGGTCGGAGGATCGTGCCGCATCGCCGATGCATCGCCGATGCGGCTCGGTGTAGGGCCCGATCTGCTTCACGTAGACGTCGCCAATGCATCGCCGACGTCGACGATGCATCGCCGGTGCATCGCCGATACATCGCCGATGCATCGCCGATGCATCGGCGATGCGGCGAGATCCTCGGACCCCATCTGCTCCGACCCCATCTGGGAGGCCTCTAAGGGGGTGTCGACATGTTGTGTCTCGGGTTTCCCAGGGCGGCCAGGCCAGCCCCCCGGGGTTGCGAAGATGGCCGCACCCCGCAGCCTGGGCCCGAGAGGTGCCTTTCTCCAGAGGCGCGGCGCGAGGGCGCGAAGACAACCGCGACGCGGGGAGCGCAGCGCGAATTCAGGTCGGCCGACGCCGCCGATGCGTGGCCGATGCACCCCCAATGGGTGGCCGATGCGTGGCCGAGGCGTGGCCGATGCGTGGCCGCTGACGTCGCCAGCGCATGGCCGATGCACCGCCAATGCGGCGCGATCCTCCGATCCCATCCAGGAGGCCTCTTGTTGCACTAACACACACTATCGGAGATCCGCGCAGGCTTCTCGAAACGACGCTTGGCCCCCCCGGGCGGCGACTGTGGCGCCGCCCCTGGCGCGCTCCGCGCGTAAGGGAGGGGTCCAGCGCCGATCCTTGAAATCCACGGAGCTCCGAACGTTTCCGCTTATGTATTTGGCGTTTTCTTCCCTGGGCCCAGGCCTTTCAAATTGGGCCAGAGCAAATGGTGTCGGAGGATCGCGCCGCATCGCCAATACATCGGCCATTCTGGCGCGACCTGGAGCCCGATTTCCTACACGCTGACGTCACAGATACATCGCCGATGCGTCGGCGATGCTCTGCGATCCTGCGATCTCATCTACATCTCCCTTCAGGCGCGCTCCAGAATGGGTTCCGCCTTCAAGGGAGAGAAAGTTCGACATCTCTTCCTCGGAGGAAGGCCGGCGGACGCAAAACGACGGCGCCAGCGGAAGTTGGTGGAAGGTGAAGGAAGGTGCACTTTTCGTGCACCTCTGGGGCCCGAAAGGGGCACGAAAAAGGTGCACGGCTCTTCGTCCCTCCATGCTTGCGGATTTTTGCCCAAGAGATGACAATTTGATTGGGGTCAGGGGGGCTGGAAGTTGTGATGGGCCCATGTTCCACCACCACTACCACATGTATAGGACAGGTCGGAGAAGGAGGAGGACGAGGAGGAGGAGGAGGAACTCCTCATCCTCCCTCCCCCCCGTCCTACATATGGTAGCGGTGGTGGAAAATTTGCCCCCCAATTTCCCCTCGTCGGGAGGCCCCCCCCCCGGTGGCAGCCGCAGCAGCAGCAGCAGCAGCAGCAGCAGCAGCAGCAGCAGCAGCAGCGGCGCGCCCCGGAGGAGGCCGGCCGTGCCCAGCTGCGCGAGGCGCTGCGGCGGGAGCTCTCCCAGGCCGCCCCGGCCCGGCTCCGGAAGAGCTCGCGGCCGCGCGCGGTGGCCGGCCCCGGAAGAGCTCGCGGGAGCCCGTAGGGCTTCTCCTCCTCCTCCTCCTCCTCCTCCTCCTCCTCCTCCTACTACCACTACTACTACTACTACTACTACTCATTATCTCCCCTCCTCCTCCTCATTATCGTCTTTCATTATCATCCTTCATTAGTCATCGTCCTCCTCCTCCTCTTCTCATTCCTCTTCCTCGTCCTCCTCCTCCTCCTGGGGTGTGCGGAGGGAGAAATCACAGGGTGGGGCCGGGGAGCAGGCCCAGCTGGATGCTCCGGTATGACGCACTTCCCTCCTCCGTGGGCCGTTCGGAGCGATTTTCCCTCCAACCCCACTTCCGCCCTAATGCCGCCTTTGTGCCCCCCGAGCCAGAAGCCCGCCCTGGGTTCAGAGGCGAGGAGCGTGCCCCGAGGTGCCAGTTGCTTGGCTGCCCTGGTACGCCTGTCACCTGTTTTGGACCGCCCGCCCTGAACACATTGCGTGTTGGCTCGGCACGTGTTGGCCCACGTTTTTCAGGAGGGCAAGAAACACACAGACACAATTAATCGTCGATTCCCCAGAAAATATGGAAAATATGGGAAGTGGTGGGGAAGACAAAAATCCAGAAAATATTGGAAAATATGGGGAATATTTTTATTTGTGTGTATTTATTTGTGTGTTCTGGGGCCCCTTTAGTATCGCGTATCGGGGCAGCTGGCCAAGGCTGCTTGTTTCGCAGTTGATTGGCGTCGGGAGGCGTACGTTGGGCACGGGGGGGCTGCCAGAATCGATCCTGGGTGAAACGTTTGCCGGGATTGACCCTGCGGGGGGACAGAGGGAGCGGTTTGGGGCAGATTTCGGTCGGGGGGAGGGGGAGGACCAACACACGCCGATGACGATGCACTTCCCTCGTTTTCACCTTTGCGGGCTTCCTCGTCGCCACGGCCAGATTCGCCTCGTAAACCTGATCAGAGCGCACCCTGGTCGAGGTCCGGTGAGAAGCGGTACAGTCAACCCGCATGGCAAGGATGGGCAACCTTCCCAAGGGTACCCTTGCATCCTTGCCTCCTCGGCCCATCCATGGCCACTTTCGTTGGCCGCGCCCCGCTCGAAGAGCTTCGAAACGGGCCCAAGGCCTTTGCATCCTTATGACCGCACATCCCTCTGATACGGGCCGACTGTACCGGAAACCCGGCCCTGGAGGGCCCCCGGGCCCAAGAGCACCAGGGGCACTTGAAAAGCACTAGTGAGGTTCCCCCGTTCCCCCCCCCCCCGGCCTTCCCGGAGCTTCCCTGGAGCTTCCCCGGAGCTTCTGGCCCAAATGGAGCTTCCGGGTAGGTTCCAAATAGGGCACAGGCGGGCCAAGATGGCTTCCTGACGGCCCCCGATGGCGTCAAGACAGTCCAAGAGGCCCCCGAGAGGCCCCCAAGATGGCTCCACTCGGGTCGACTGTGTCGGTGTTTGCTTGTTGCCCCATCCAGGTGTTGCCAGAAGTGCTGCCCCCGGCCCAGGTGCCCCAGCAGGAGTTGCGAGGAGGCTCCCACGGCCTCTGGAGGCCCAGCTTCCCCTCCTCCTCCTCATCCTCACCCTCCTCCTCCTCCTCCTCCTCCTCCATTCCTCCTCCTGCTCCTCCTCCTTCTCCTCCTCCTCCTCATCCTCCTCCTCCCAGGAGTTACGAGGGGCTTCAGGATGGAGCGAAGCGCCGGGTGCACCTTGGGCCAGCGGCGCCTTTCGCAACCCCCGACCTGCTGCTTTTTTTGTCTCTCCTCCCTCCTCGCGTCCTCGCCCCCCTCTTCTTTGCACATTTCTCTTGAGCGTAGTGATCAGAGTCAGTTTTCCTGCCTATGCGCCGTTTGGGCGCCTGGCTTCCTTGCTTGCTTGCCTGGCAATCTGCATACCCAGGCAGCGGAGGCAGGGCATAGTAATCGGATGTGTTTGAGGACGCAGGTGTCAGAGACGAGCTCTGGCCTTGTGGTGCCGCCAGCTCGAAGACCGAAAGCGGTCGTAGATATATTCTGCCAGAGCGACCCCAAAAATACCCAGCAGGTCAAGAGACGTGCACGGGATAGGGCGGTTGGGCAGGAGGGCACACGAAAATGCTCGATCCCGTGTGATTGGGCATTACTTGGGAGGTCCGACGCTGCGGGGATGTCTGGGAAGGGGCCCAAGAGCCTCGGAGGAGATCGGAAGCCCGTCGGGGCGCCCGTTGGCGGAAATCCGGGGACTTGGGATCTCTCGCGAATTTGCACTGGGTCCCCGAGAAGTCGCGGGCACTGACCAGCGGGGCAGGGCGCCGGGCGCCGCGCTCCCAAAGGTCCCCTGGGCGCAACACAGCCCACAGCGGGTCTGGGCTGCTGCGTCTTCACGAACCAACAACACACACCCATACCCATCGGGGGATCGGAGAGGGCTGTGGGCGCGTGTTGTCGGATGGGGGTCCCCGCTCGAACAGGAGCGTTCCCCAGAGTCGACAACCCGCACCCATACCCATAACCAGTCCTCCTCCCAACGACCTCCCTATGGGTATGGGTGTGTGTTGTTCGTTCGTCACGTCTGGCATTGCGTCGGACTACAGCAGGAGTGCAGTCAACCCGCGCAGTGAGGATGGGCAACCTTCCCAAGGGTACCCTTGCATCCCTGCCTTCTCGGTCCATCCGTCGCCACTTTCGCTGGCCGCGCCCCGCTCGCAAAGCTTCGAAACAAGCGTTCAAGGCCCTTGCATCCTTCTCGCGGATCCTTACGATCGGGCCGACTGCAAGTCGGGCATGTCCCTCTACAGGACGAGTATTCAAAAGTAGTGAACAAAGCATCTGGTGACGCTTTTCCCGTGCTCTTGTGACTATTGATGCGTATGTTTGACAACCTTTTATTTATCTTCCAAAGTCCCCTTGCAGGAGGACATGCTCGACAGAATCCGGGCAGTGCTCAGCCAATCTCCGGTCGATCCTCGATCGATCCTCCGGAAGCCTCAATCCTCGATTCTCGATCGATCGAGATTCAATCGATCTTCCGAAGATATCCCGAAGCCGCTTTCCTCGATTGGTCCTCGATGCTCCAAAAACTTGGATCCTCGATTGAACCTCGATCCTCGATCGATCCCCAGACCCGCACGGGGGCATCTCCACCCCCGAGTCGAAGAACAAAAGTCGGCATGAGCATTGCTTCTTGCAGAACCCCGCGGATCTCTCGGGTCGGCGCTGGGCCCCCCCTAACGGCGCCTTAGGCGCTGCCCTTTTCGCGCTCCGCGCGCCAGGAAAGGGGGTCCCAGCGCCGGCTCGGACCTCCCCTTCGCTGCTCTGCGAGCGGCTTGAATGGGAGAGAGGAGGGAGGGGAGAAGCCAGAGCAAGTGGAGAGGGAGCAGGACGGAGGAGGAATGGGAGGGAAGAGGGTGGTACAAGGGGGGGCCAGGAGGCCGCGCGCGGACTTCAGAAGGGGGGGCAGGCGGGAGTCAGCGCCTGCTCCAAGAAATCCGCGCGGATCTCCGAGAAATCAGAGAGTCCCTCGACGTCAGAGACGCGATCTGCCGTTCCTGCCCCGCTTGCCGCTCCCCGCGGTATATTCGGGCCTCGGTTCTTCGCTAAGGTCGCTGTCCCTCCGCCGCCGAGTCCTGTCCTCTGGCCATCGCTCGTGCGCCCTCTTCGGGCCCTCGTTCGGTCCCGCTGCTGCCTGGGGGCTATGGGCGCTCGGCGCTATACTTCACGTCCGGACAGAATCCGAGAAAGCATGGCAGTGCTGCCCTGCTGTTCCTCCACGGAAGAAGGCGCAGCGTCTTGCGGCCCCCCTTCGAGAGGGGTGGCGGGCCCGGGCTCCCGAGCGGGGCCCACTCGGATGCGGCCCCGGCCCGAGTCGGCCCCGCTTTTGTCGGGCGGGTGGTAAAGGGGGGGTGGCATACTAAAACAGGGCTAGGATCGGGATAAATCGCTCCAGAGCGTTCCGGAGCGCTCTCAGAGCGTTCCGGAACGCTTTGGAGCGGCCGCGGCGCCCAATACATCCTCCAAACCCGCCGATTCTCAGAGAGTTCGAGTTATCCCGATCCGATTTTGTCCCGATCTTCGCGTCGTTTTGCATACTCCTCTTAGGGCCCTGCTCTTCACCCCCCATGGAGGTCACCCCCCACTGCCATCCGCCCCACGTTCGCCCTCTGAGGTTCGGTTTCGATGTTCGGGCGGCCTGATGCCTACGTACACGGCTTGGATGTGCGTTGGAGTCAGCTGAGGGTCTGAGGTGGCCCAGCACTGGTTCTGGCCAGCAGGAAGGGGGGCAGGTTCGAGGTTCTGGGCTCGATGAACTTGTTTGCCTTTTTCGCTTCCTGGGGGCTGTTTTCGGATCCCAGGACCGTCAAAAACAGATCCGGGGTGAAACATTGCACCAGATGGACCCTGGGAGGGGTCCAAGGACCAATTTTGAGCAGATTTCGCCTCGTCCCCCTCTTGACTGGTGGGGCCCATCCAGTTCAGACCCCCCGGCCGCCTCCAAATTCTGTGCCCTGCGTGGCCGATTCTCAGGGGCGGCCCAACCGACCCACCATCACCCTCCGTGGCGTCGCCCTCGCCTCGCCCCAAGACGTATGCATGCGGCCAGAGGGGAGTTTTGAGAGGCGAGGATGGTGTCACGGAAGGGGATAGTCTGTCAGGGGTCGGTCAGGCCGCGCCCCTGATTCGATGCGATCCCGACTCCGTGCCGATGCGGCCCGATCCGATGCACGATGCGATTTCTGCGACTCGATACCGACTGTTCTTTCGGGGGAGCGTAAGACCCGGGTTTGCCAGGACTCGGGTTCGCCATCGTTTTTTGACGACCGCGCCCCGGATTTTGACGAGGAGGAGTTTCGTGGGATGCCTGCAGCGGGAGGCATCGTCAAAATGCAGGCTCGGCCTCGTCATTTTTTTGACGACCTCGTCGGGTATTTCCGAGTCCCCTGTACCCAGGTCTTACGTCCCCCTGATTCTTGCTGGGCCCGAGGCCTTCTCGGGCGGCGGCCAGCGGCCCAGCAGCTCGGACGCCGTGGAGGGGGCGCTGGACCAGCTGGCCGGGCAGGGCGGGGCGGGCTGCCGTGGCGACGATCGACCGACCGACCGACCGACCGACCGACCGACCGACCGACCGACGCCGTCGTCGTCGTCGTCGTCGTCGTCGTCGTCGTCGTCGTCGTCGTCGTCGTCGTCGTCGTCTTCGTCGTCGTCGTCGTCGTCGTCGTCGTCGTCTTCGTCGTCGTCTTCGTCGTTGTCGTCTACGTCGTCGTCGTCGGCGGCGGCGGCGGCGGTGGCGACCACGCGACTTCGTCCGAGGTCGTCGAGAGGCCTCCGTCAGGGGAGGCAGGAACCACCTCGCCACCCCCCCGGCCAGACCTCTGGCGTCGTGATTGTCTCGATCCTACCGTCAAAGACCGACTCAGGATGAAAAATCGGTGACGTCGGGGGTCTGGGAAGCAGGGGGGCCTCGAGGGTAACCGGCCCCTGCGCCCTGTGGGATGGCATCTGACGGCGAGTGGTCAAGCCGGTGGGCTCCCCCCCAGTCAAGGGAGGAGCATCGGCGGAGAAAGTGGGGGGGGGGAAGTGAGGAGGGGGGGGCCTTCTCAGAAGGCTCGGAACGCCAGAGGGGAGAAGCCCCGCCACCTTCGAAGAAGGCCTGCTCGTTCTCACTTCCCTCCCCCCGGGCTCGCCGCCGAGAAAAACCAGCCCGACCTCCAATAGTTGGCGTTCACTAAACGGCCCTGGGCGCTTCCTAAACAGTCCTGCCCTGTTCGATTCCCTCCCTCGGTGCGTTTGCTCAACGCCTTTGCTAGTCGGTGTGCGCACTGTGAGGGTAGTTGTTATGCTCCCCACCCAGGTGAGAAGGAAGAGACAGTGCTTCCCACAAGGATCCTGCTGCTTCTGGGAGGCCTGCAGGAAGGCCACCTGGAAGGCGGCGGGGGGCGGGGGACACCGGGGGCGGTCGTGAATTAAGGAGTGTGCCCTGGAGGCCTTCAGACCCAGGAAAAGTCCTTACAATTACGGGTAGGTTCCCGTCGGGTCGACCAGCGGCGCCCGACACCGCCGCCGGGCGTTCAACGTTGAACGCCGCCAGTGGCCCAGAATCGGCCAATACTGAACGATCTGGCGAACGAGCATTCAATGTTGAACGATCCGATCTCAAAGCCGCCGATCATTCAAGGTTGAACGGTCCACGTGGTGTCAGAAACCAACGCCGGGGTCGTCACGACACGAACCTGCCGTACCTGATGAGGGTGGCTGTGATATCCATGGCCACGCCTCAATCGAAGTTCCGCTGGCTTCCAAATCCTGGATTCCTTGTCCAATGGTTCCTTATCCCGTGCCCTCACTGTACGGCCCGCTCAAAAGGCAGCCACCCTCGCCCCGCCCCTTGTTCCTGTGCATCGCCTGGTGTTCGGCCCCTGGGGGCCCTCGCCGGGACCTGGCACCTTCACTGGATGAAGAGCCAGCCCCGGGGAAGGGGTCCAGACTTGAGGGGAGCCACGCTGCGAAGATCACACAACGGAAAATGCCTGGGTGGGGCGGGATGGCGACGAGCGGCTTTGAGAATCAGCAGCCAGTAATCTCCAAACGGCGCCCGGCTTTCGGCCTCTCTGTTATGCCATGCAGCCGAGTTGAGCCAGCTGGCATATCTGAAGTTTGGTGGGACGGGCAAGGTTGGATGTGACCTGCCAGGAGCACGCTGCTAAGTTTACGTCGGGCAAGTCCCCTTACAGGAGGAATATTCAAGAATCCTCGAACAGTAGTCGTGGGACGATGTTTCGATCATTGTTTGACCATTTTTGAGTATTTGTTTGACTATTTCTTATCTTTCATCCAAACTCCGCCCGTAGGGGGGACATGCCCGACCTAATGCTAAGGATGCCGGGCCACCAATCCCCCGCCCCCGGCCCCTCCAGCACCGCAGTGGCTTGAAAGGCAGAGTGCCGAACGCAAGCGCAGGAGATTGCCGAGGCTGGCGGTGTCGGCGTGGTGCGTCCCACGCGTTCGGTTCTGGTCCTCGTCGAGCAGCTGGTCCGTAGGATTAGGTCGGGCGTGTCCTCCTGAAGGCGGGCTTTGGACGACAAATAATGAATAGTCAACAAACAAAACAAACATGTTCGCAAATAGTCAAAAAAACGCCCCCTGGTTATTTTTGCCTATTTTTGAATACTCCTCCTGAAGAGGGACAGGCCCGACTTGACCGTAGGAGCCCGGGATACGAGGACAGGGGTGAATCGTTCCAGAGCGTCCTGGAACGCTCTGGAACGGCCGCGGCGTCCGACACATCCTCCAGAACCGTCGGGCCTCAGGGATCCCCGGATCTGCTCCTGGCCGAAGTTGTCCCCGTCTCTCCAGGCCTCCTGGATGGGGTCCGAGTACGTGGGGTCGGGGGGGTCGCGCCGTATCGTCGATGCATCGGCGATGCGGCTCGATGGGGAGCCCGATGTTCTTCACGCCGGCGTCGCCGATGCACTGCCGATGAATCGCCGATGTATCGGCGATGTATCGGCGATGCGGCGCGATCCTCCGACCCCATCTGTTCCGAGTTCCGACCCCATCGAGGAGGCCTCCAGTGCAGGCTTCGTCTTAAGTCCGCCTGCGCTCGTCACCCATAGGGGCGCGGAGGTCCTCGCCTCTTGGCGCGGCCCCGGGCCAGAGAGCGCGGATCCGCGCAAGGGGCGCAGGGGGCAGCAGCGCGCCGCGCCTCTTGCAGCGCCGGGCGCGTCGTCGGTACGATCGAAGCGGGCACGTTCGGTGGCAAAGCATGGGAGACATGTGTGCCCTCGCAATTCTGTTTTCAGCGTCGCCTCGCGTCAATTAGCGTCTCGGAGTCGATGAGATAGCGCCGAGATACCGCGTCGGTGAGCGGCGATTCAGCGTCGATGAGCGTCGACGTAGCGTCGATTCATGTCGATTCGCAAGAGCCGACAAGATGGCATGGGAGGCTCCTATGAGTTGCCGCAGAAGGTACGGGGGGGGCGTTCGATAAGGCATATGCCATATGCCCAATATGCTTCAGACCCTGGACGAGGGGGGGGATTGAGAAGGAGAAGGCCTTCTCAGAAGGCGGCGGGGCGTCTCGGACCTCGCGCAATCTGAGAAGTGTTTGGTGTCTTTGGGGAAGGCTTAGAAACCTTCTCAGAAGGCTGGGGGACTCCCGAGCCTTCTGAGAAGGCCCGCCCCTTCTGACTTCCCCCCCAGGCTCGCCGCCGAAATGAGGGCGACCTTGACATCATGGCCAATCCACGATTGGAGTTCAGCCAGCTTCGAGACCCTGGAGTCCTTGTCCAACGGTTCCTTGTCCAGTGCCCTCACCGTGCGGAAACATTTGGCACGAAGACCGACAGCAGTTCTTGTTCATTTTGAACTGGGTTCGCTGTCGGCATCACCACTGGCGTTGTCCATTTGTGACAGGAGGCCGCCTGCCCAACAGCTGCCGCTGTCGGTTTGGGACAACATGTATTGTTGGGGGTCCAGCGCAGGTCCAGGAAGTCTGGGCGGACCCACGAGAGCAGATGTTTCTTCTTTAGCGCAGTGTCGTCCATGTCGGACATCCCGAGAAGGCTGCCCAGGGGATCGGGCAGGTTCGGCTAAACCCGACATCTCGACCAGGAGCCATCGAAGGCGAGGCTCGCCTGGTGCTTGGGAGAACGGTTGAGGGGGGCAGAGGTTGGAGGCGGAAGGCGAAGCTAATGAGATGTGTTGGTGAAGATGGAACGGCCTTGGCGCTAGCCAATATGTGCTTACAAATCCGGCACACCCAGACAAATCGATTGTCTTTTCGGACCGCAAAGTGCACGCAGGAATCAGACGCAACGCTGCGCAGAGGAGCCAATTGCGGTTGCGAGTGTCTCGCGGACTTGGCCAGGACACGAGATTGTCAGCCGAGCTCGGTGGTCAGGATGCGTGAAGGCGAGAGAAGGGGTGGAGGAGGGTCGATGGTCGCCACCAGCTCAGGGGTCCCAAAAAAGGAGACCGTCTCTCAGTGTTGTTCTGGCTCGACCATGCAGCATCGCCCCAATTTCGCCCAGCGCCCGCCATCGGTGCGAGGAGGAGGCAAAGGTGCTCTCGGCAGAGTGTACCCACAGCTGTTCGCACCCTGTTTCGAATAACAACAGGCGGCATAAACATAAATTTTCGGAGATCCGAAATCTTATAGTTTCGCCGTTTAAACTTCCTCAAAGTTGGAAGCCTTTGGAGCCCTCTTGGCCTCGTCAGGGGTGATCTGGCGGCCGTCTGGGCTTCCAGGGGATCCTGGGGACCCCTTGTGCCAGGGACCCATCAGGGGCAACGCTAGGGGGGGATACGCTCAAGGGCGGGGCCCGTGACCGATAGGGGCCTGATAGCCCACCCCGCCAGGGGGTCCAGCGCGGATCCAAGAAATCCGCGAGGAGCGCCGACAGTTCATGTTAATGTTGTTTGTCTTCTTAGTATTCGTATTGTTGTTCTTCTTATGATTATTATTGTTTTTGTGTGTCTTCTTCTTATTATTATTATTCTTCTTCTTCTTGTTCTGCGTTCGGGGTGGAAGGATCCCCGCGGTGTCAGGAGCCAACGCCCTGGTCGGCACGACCCGAGCCTGCCGCACGGTGGGTTCGCGTCGTGTCGGCGCGGCGGCGAGGCCGAGCGAGGGATGCCGGGCCCCCCAGAGGCGGCGGTCCGTCGCGGCCTCCCGCCGTGGAGTGCGTGCGCGAAACCGTGCAGGGCCGTCTGCCGCAGGGGTGTCGCGTGCAAGGCTCGGCCTTCGTGGTCGAGCGGTGGCGAGGCGTCCTGGCGTTCTCGCAAGCCCACCAAGGGATGGTCTACGGACCTTTTGTGGTCTGCGCGGGATGCTCTCAGAGCATGTCTGGCTGAGACTGTCTTGTGTTAACGCATCAGGCTTATGTTATGGGAACACTGTTGGTGCTCTTAGAACATATTAGGGTTCTAAGAACACCTCGTGGTAGGCCTCATAGGAATGCCGGGACGGTCGGTCCTTGCTCAACTGTGGCCCAGCGGAAAATTGGAGGTAGTCCAGGGCGTCGGGGACCTCCGGGCACGTCCGGGGACGTCCGAGGGGTCCAGATTGCCACCTCGGTCGCCGCTTCGAGCTGCCCGTCATCGGGCGTCCTCCTTCTCCTGCTGCCCTTTGACATATATCTTCGTCCTAGCCCTCATGTTGCGAAGGCCTTACTGCCGGTGCCGCCGACCCTGAAGGCGGACGACGACGACGACGGCGGCGGCGACGACGACGACGCTGAGGTGGGCCAGAGTCCTCAGGGATGCTTCTTGGGATCTCTTCGGAAGGCTCCTGGGGGCCTCTGGGGAGGAGTTTGGGCCTCTTGGGAGCCTCGTGGGCGCCTTTTCTGGCTTCCTGGGGACCTCTTGTAGGCCTCTTGGGGCCTCTTGGGAGCGTCTTGGGAGCCTCATGGGAGCCTCTCGGGGCCGAGGGCTCGAAATGTCCGTTCGGGTCCCCCGTGTGGGCACGCTCTTAGAGCCGTCTTCGGGGCCTCCTGAGCTGTCTTGGAGGCGCTCTCTTGGGCTATGTTGGAGCTCTCCTGGGCTATTTTGGGGACCTCTAGGAGGCCTATTGGGCCGTATTAGGGCGATCTTGGGGGCCTCTTGGGCCGTTTTGGAGCGGCGGGAAGACCAAAAACAAGAACGCTCAAATCCTAACAACAAGACACCTCAGGAACAACAATTAGTTTTGCCTCTTGGGGCCTGGGCACCCTCGGGAGTGCGCTTGGAGGCTTGAGGGACATCTTGGAGGCCTCTAGGAAAGTCTGGAGGGCATGAAAGCGTTTTGAACCGATCGTTTGGCGATTGGGTGTCCTATGGGACCGTTCGAGGGCCTCTTGGGACACTCGTAGCCTGTCTTGGTACTTTCGGAGGCCCAGAGGCCCCCAGGGGGGAATGTGTATGTGTATCTGACCCCCCCCCCGCCCGGGATCCCCACACACGCCGACAGGATCGGCGGAGTCTAGCTCTCGCGTTCTTGCTTCGCACGACATGGACATTGACGAAACAATGCGACCAAACCTCTCGGACACTGACGCCAGATCACGAACACTACCCCTTACATCCTCCCCTCCCCAACCTCCCAACGCCGACTTCGACGGTGATCTTGGAGGGCCCCGGCCCACCCGCGCTGGCCGCCACGTCCCTGGCGGTCACCAGCGCGCTTGGCTTCGCTCGTCCTCGCTTGCGCCACCCTCGGCCCCGCGCGGCAGCCTCCCCAAACACCCGGCCGCTCCAGTTATTGTCGATGCGTGAGCCCCGGAGGTCTGGACCACTTCCCCAGGGCCGCTGTTCACCCCAAGTCGATTTGGACGGTCCCGAGGCCCGGCGAGGGCCTCCGGAGGCCGAACATAGCCCAAATCCCGCCGCTCCGATGCTGTTTGGGGCGTGGGATCTCTGGGTCCCGCCGCGCACCGTGCCAGGCTTCGCCGCGTTCGCCGCGGGGCGCTGGCGGGTGGCGCATGCGCCCCACATCGGCAAGCTCTCGGGGCTGCTCGGTGCCTCGGTGGTGGTGCTGCTTTCCTTGATGGGGCGGCGTGCAGCAGGCACAGGCAGACTGCATAGAACGTATGCTTGGCATCGCTCGCACGTGTGCAGTTGTTTTCGGCGAGGATCATCGAGGAGCATTTGTCTTCACATTGCGCCAAAAAAACACGCACGATACCGAAAAATGCACGAGGAATGGACGTCCGAGCGATGGCGAGTATGCCTCTGCTCTAGCGCGCAGACTCGCAAGGACGCGTGTGTACTAGTGTGTTTCGAACACGGGCCGTTGTGTGGGAGGGAGGGGGACTTCAGGTGTCGCATGAAAGCAGGGTGCATGGGAGAGGAAAGAGCTCGGGCCAAGACTCTCCGCTCCAAGGCGGACTGGTAATTCCTAGGCTGGCCAGATTCACGCACAGCGCGATCGCAGTTTTTCACCCAGACTAGATACGGGCCCGACGACTTGGTTTACCCGCCAACACACACTCACACAGACACACACACACACACACACACACTTGATAAGTACCCATATCTGTGTGCACAGCGCTGGCATAGTTGTTTGACGTTCCACCAGCAGCGTTCACAGAGCCCGCCCGACGGCTACCAACGAAACCCAATCGATCTTGCGAGCAGTCTGCTTGCACTCTACTTTCAGCTGTTCCGTCGCTTGTCGCACACGTCGGCGTGAACGTCCAAGCGGAGCACGTCCAAGCCGCATGCGTCTCCCATAGCCCTGATTGCGGCTGGACAGAACGTGCCCGAGGCAGGACCGGCCTCTTGCGGCACGCTCGTACGAGAGGGGCCCTGGATCCCAAGCCACCCTTGCAGGGAAGGACCAGCACAGCACGTGCGCAGAGACCCCGCGCATGCACCCGGCCACGTGCGATCCGCCCACGAACGGCACGGCACGACGCTGGCAGCACGAGCAGCAGGCCCAGAGGAGGGAGCAAAAAGATGCACGGCACCGGCGCGGCGGCGACGTCGCCGCGGGCGTTCCCAGCCCGGTGGAACGGCCGCCAGTGGCCCAGAATCGGTCAACATGGGAAGCTCTGACGATCAAAGAGCCACCGACAGCCCGACAAAAAAAAGAGCCCCTGACAGTTCGAGTGTGAGCGATCCGGGCGGCGCCAGGAACCAGCGCCAGGGTCGTCGCGGTGCGAACCTGCCGCAATGTGGAGGCGAGATGCTGTGCTGCTGACGATGGACGATGATGAAGATAGCGATGACGTGCCTCCTCCGCATCCTCCTCCTCCTGCTCATCTTCCTTCTCTGCTCAGCCTTCTCCTTCGTCCTCCTCCTCCTCTGCCGCATTCCAGCCTCCGCTGAGGAAAAAACACCCCAGCCCCAGAATGGGCGTTTGCTAGACAGTCCTGGGCGCTGACTGAACTGTCCTGCCCCGTTCGACTCCTTGCTCGGGTGTGTTTGATAAAGAGCTTCGGTTGTGGGGGTGCTCATTGTGAGGGTGGTTATTCTGCCGTCTGTCCAAGTCCTCAGCACCCCCCGCCCAACCCCCGTGTGCACGCCTCCAGATGGGTGTTCGGGGACAGGCTCTACGTTCGACCCAATACTCTACGATCTTGCAGTGCCCGTGACGGAGCGCGGCGGCGGTGCCATCCAGTCGCACGTGGGCTACAGCGCTTTGGGCGGCCTGTTCCAAGGCCGAATCGGCGCAGTCTCATGGAAAGAATGCCACAAGCATGCTGAAGTCGACCTCCGGCGCGTTGAAACAGTAAAGGTGGAGGCTTTCTGTCAACTCGGCCGTCTGGGGCCGTTTTCGGGCCCAGGGACCATGAACAAACAATCTGGGACGAAAAATTGGATCCCGGGGAAGGGGTCGAGAGCTCCAAAGATTTGATATTCAAACAAAAACGACATCGGAGTGCTGGGGTGTTTCCACTTGCTCTTCCTGGATTGAGTGTTCTTCTCCTGCATTGAGACGACAGCATCGCATCTCTACACACAAGGTATAGCAAGCCATGCTCGTCCTTACCCATCTGATCTGAGTCGGAGGTTGCTGCTCATCGCATCGACGTCTGGATTTGCTTCTCTGTCTCAATGCCTGTGTGCTTTACATTCACGCATGGGCCCTCAGGCGGTGCCCACTGTTTGCTGCCATGTCCTCGCATTGAGAATGGAATGCCATCTTGTATGGGCCCGTCATGGTGTGCCTCTCCCTGTACATCCTCGCTTGCAACATGAAGTGCTTAATTGGCTCCTTGCGTTTCGGGTGACAGAGGGGCAATCCATCGACCCATACCTGTGGTTTCGCAGTTTCCAATCAGGCTACTCCGACGCAACACTCCTTGATCGAGACAACGCAATAGTCCGTCAATGTCAATGAAAACGCAATCGTCCATCAACATTGCGACCACTTTGGCCGCAGCGTTGGCAACTCCCCCATCCTCCCTTCCACTTCGCCTTCAGCACGCCAGGCTCCTCATCCCCCATCTTCTGCCCACTTGCTCAACATCACCAGGCCACCGTCACTCCCTTATCCAATCCCCATCATTCACCCCGCTCTTGCCAGTCTATCGCCAGGCTGGCTGTCTACTGCGGGGCGGTATGGCACCGAGGACGGAGACGCCACCAGCCGCGTGGAGTGGGACGAAGCATGGTGGTCCAGACAGCTACAGGGGGTAGAGTAAAAATCAGGAGGGTAAAAAACACAGACACAATTAGCCGTCGATTCCCCAGAAAATATGGAAAACATGGGAAGTGGGGGGAAGACGAACAACCAGGAAATATAAATATGGGGAATTATTTTATTTGTGTGTATATTTGTGTGTCCCAGGGCCCGTGCAAAAAGGCCACCATGGCTTTTCCTGTTTCCGCGCATGGGCACTCTCGATCGAGTACGCCTGTTTGCGCAGGCTCTCGCCAGCAGCATTGCCCCTCCTCCAGGCCGCCACACAGAGGCACGAAGTTGTCCCCGCGAGGAGAACGATTCATCGGGTGCACCTGGGCTCGCCGCCGCGCTTTTCTGCGAGGGACTCGCGAAGGCGGGGAGGTCCTCCCTCCCTCTCTCTCCAGGGCTCGGGCAGCCCCAGGTAGCAGGGTGCGCACAGACCTCAATTGGGAAGTCGGACACCTGATGCGGCCGCGGCGTGGCCGGCCCTTCTGCGAGAGTTGGGTGCACACGTGGCCGAACACTCGGCACGAGCGACACGCGTACGGAAAAGAATGGGTACGATGCCCCACAGCAGTTGCTGCCCGTTTTCCCGCTTTGAACAGGACTCGTCCGACCCCTCGCCGCCGTGGACGCTGTCCGTTTGAGGCAAGAGGCCGCCTGCCCAACAGCGGCCGCTGTCGCGTTTGGTTAACGTGAGTGGTTGGGCGTCGTCGTACCCAGTTCGGGGGGGGGACCCTGAAGTCGGGCCTGTCAGTCTACAGGAGGGATATCCAGAAATAGTCAAAAAATAGTATGGCAACGATTTCTTCATTATTTTTGAGCAGTTTTTGTGCATGTCTTGAGTATGTTTAATCTGTCGCTCAAAATCCGCCCGTAGGGGGACACGCCCGACCTAGGGGTACCCATCTCGGGCGTCCGAAACACGTCTTTCGACCGCCTGGCCCCCGAGTGGGTGGGTACGCTGGCCCTCCGCGCGTGCATGCGATGCGGCGCCTCCACGGGCGCCGCGTGCGGATGCGGCCGTGTGAGTGCGCGTCCAGCCTCACGGCGCACCGGGGCCAGCGAAGGGGAGGGGGAGGCGAAAGGGGAGGCGAGGGATCAGCGAAGGGGAGGGGGAGGCGAACTGGATCCCCTTCTGCCGTCCTGGTTCGCCGATCCTCACGGCAGAAGGGGGGATCCGCGAAGGGGAGGGGGAGGCGAAAGCTGCCGCACGGGCCAGGGTTCCGCTCCGCCGTGGGGCCCTTGCCTCGACACGGGAGCGGAGCAGCCAAACGGGGTCCTCTGCGCCGACAAGCGCGCGCAGGCTGCCCGCGTAGGGTCGCGCGTGAGCGCCCCCGTCTCCAAAGTACAGATAGGAGCTCGACCACAGGAAACCTTCCACGAGAAACCCGGCTCTGAGACCGCAGGACGTCCATGGATTTCTGAGGTGGGGGCGTCACGCTATCCGTAGCAAAGCCATCGAAACCCGAGAAACCCAGGGGACCCGGACCCTGGAGGCAAGCAGGGTGTTTCTTGGCATGGGTGTCCACTGTAGCATGCCGCGCTGGCGGCCCGCGTAATGTCCAAAACCTGTTAAGCAAATTATGACCCCCACCCTTCCCCCCCGGATCCCGACTGCCATTAATTCGCTGCCGAATGACTATGTTGTAAATTGTTCCCTTGGAATAGTCCACGGAGACCGAACGATGCGATCGATAAATGCACACATGTATGATTGTATACACATGTGCGTATGCACACGCACGCACGCGCATGCATTGGCATATGCGCATGAACTGTATGCGTGCAGATGTGCAGGCTACTTCGGTCGACTAGTGGGTAGTTTTCGTCTTACTGGGACACTGTACGTACGTGCGCGCGCGACTGCGTGCGCGTGCACGCGGTGGCGTCCAGTTCTCGCGCGCGACGCGAGGCTCAATGGCCTTATATTGGTTCCCCGAATCCCAAATTTACAGTTAGTTTTTCTCACGCGGTTTCGGGGGTGACACGTGTCACCCGTTGTGTTTGTGAGATTGAAAGGCCTTATGTTGGCCCCCGAATCCTAAGCTTACCATTGTTTTTTCTTTCACGGTTTCGGGGGTGTCACGTGTCGCCTGTTTTTTTTTGGAAATGGCATTATGTTGGCTCCCAGACTCCCGAATTTACAATTGTTTTTTTGCTCAGACGGTTTCGGGGGAGACCCGTGTCACTGGTTGTTCTGTGAGGCTGATTGGCCTTATGTTGACTCCCAGAATCTCAGATTTACAATTGGTTTTTCTCACGCGGTTTCAAGGGTGGCACGTGTCACCCGTTGTTTTTGTGAGGCTGAATGGCCTTATGCTGGCTCCCAGAATCCCAGAATTACAATTGGTTTTTCTCACACGGTTTCAGGGGTGACACGTGCCACCCGCTGTTTTTTTGCGAAGTTGCATGGCCACCCAGAATCCCAGAATTGCAAATGGTTTTAAAAACAAATAAAAACAGACCGAGGATGACACGTGTCGCCCGGTTTTTGTTGGTGAGGTTGAATTGCTTTATGTTGGGCGCAGAGCGCCAAGGCGGTCGCGGGGGCGTCCCCGGCGGTCCGGTTTGCCCCGTTTTTTTGTTGTCTAGATGTGCACCTCAGCGCTGGGAATACCTATCTTTTTAAGTGCCCCCCCCCCAGATTGATGCTTCAAACCGTTTTTAGCCATTAAGCCACCGCGTAAGGTCGCTATGCCATCTCGCCGCGTAAGGTCTCTTGTTTTTTCGTCGCCCGCATGGGCGCCTCCGCCAGCGCCCCAGCCGAGTCCGACCCGGGCGGCGCAGTGCGCCGCCCCCTGCCTGCAGAGCGCGGCGCCGTCTGCTCCGTCGCCCTCGCCCTCGCCTTCGCCCCGTCCCTCGCGCGCCCCTCCCCCGTGCTGCACCGCGCACGCCCGCACCTTCGAACCGAAGTCGACGCAGGTCTGATCGGAGGAGACCTCAACCACCATGAGCCGCGCTTCCACCTTGTGGCCTTTCTGGGTCTCGTAGTGGCCGTCGACACCCCTCCCTCGTCCTCCCGCCGTCCCTCGTCGTGCCCCCCCCCCCCTCGGCCGCTTCCCCGCCCTCGTCCTCCCCCCGCCTTCGCGCGTCCTCGTTTCCCCGCCTGCTTCGCCCCCTCCCTCGTCGCCCCCCTTCCGTCGCGAGGGAGGAGGAGGGAGCAGAGAGGAGGGAGGAGGAGGGAACAACGACCCTGACGGAGGGAGAGAGTGAAGGAGGGGAGAGGAGCGAGGAGAGGAGGGAGGAGAGGGGAGGACCGATAGTAACGATCTCGACGGGGTGAGGTGGAGGAGGCTCCTTTGCTCTCTCCCTCCCTTTCGTCCTGATGTTCCCACATTCCCTCCCAGTACAAATTCGTTCTCCACCATCCCTCCTCTTCCACCCTCCTTCCTTCGCCCCCCTCCCCCCCTTCCCCTCTCCATCTTCTACTCCTCGCTCCCTCCCTTCCCAACTTCTTCCGTCCATCCCTCACTCCTTGTCCCTCCTCCCCCAATCCTCCCTCTTCGTTTCTCTATCCCCCTCGTCCTTATACATCCTCCCTCGCTCCTCATCCGCGCCAGTCGCTGGCAAGGCGCCCCCCCCACAGGCTTAGATTCCCTCCTCCCTCCCGCCCCCCTCTGCGGATCTGGGGGGGTCTCGAGTGGGGGGGAGCCCTCCTCGTTTCTCCCCCCTTCACCAGCCTCCCCCTCCCCCCCCGCCCTCTGCCCCTTCCGCCTTCCCCACCCCCGTGTCTCCAATTTGCTGCGCCCTTCGGGAGTCCAGCGGAAAGCGGTGTTACGAAGATCCAGACGGAACTCCGCACTCCTTGGTGATGCCGGGGGGCCATCTCGCGCATAGATTTGTTCCCTTGTCTTCCCTCCTCCTGTCCCCCGCATTATTTCTCCAGCCCTCCCCCTCGTCACGATGAGTCCCAGTCCTGCGTTAGGCTCTTGCTTTGAATAGAGCATCACGGGCGCATCTCTCCTCCCGCCTCCCGACTCCCGCTTTGTCTCGCAACCCTCCTGTGTTTGGTTCCCGCCTCTTTGATAGTTCAAGCTTCGCGCGGCCCGCTTAGCTTCGACCTGAAGAGGTGCGCTCTCGACCCGCGAATCAAAAAAAAGTGTTTGGTTCCCGCCATGGCCAGAGCACTGCGGCCGCCATCTTCTCCTCGTCCCGCGCTCATGCTGCTCATGCCCTCCCCCAGCTTGTCTCCTGCCTGTCCCTTACTTCCCTGCGAGCCTGCCTCCCACCTCGCCACCCCTGGTGGACTGGGGATTGCGAGCTGGGGAATCGGTGCCACGTTCTAGGACTGCCTGAGGGGTGCAGCGGAGTGACGTCTTCAAGGCGTCGCAAATAGACCTCGACTTCCTGGGATGCTTGCGAACTGTGATACTGTCGCCATGTTCGGTAGCTGCTGGGGGGTCAGCGGAGTGACTTCTTACAGGCATCGGAGCTGACTCCTTGTGGGGCTACGGACTGCGAAACTGATACCACGTTCGAGGGATGTTTGGGGGTCCAGCGGAGTGACGTCTTAAAGGCGTCGGAAGTATATATTGTTTTGTTGTGGGGCTGCAAACTGCGACATTGCCGCCACTCTCGTGGGCTGTTGAGGGGTGCAGCGGAGTGGCGTCTGAATGGCGTATTCGAGGTCTAGTTGCGACGCTGTTAAGACGTCGCTCCGCTGGACCCCCAGCAGCCCCTAGAAGTGGCGGCGGTATAGTTGCAGCGCCTTTAAGATGTCACTCCGCTGCACCCCTCAGCAGCCCTAGAAAGTGGCAGTAGTTTCCTAGTTCGCAGCCCCCCAGGGATGGCAAGACAGGAGGCAGGCTGGCAAGAAAGTAAGGGACAGGTAGGAGACAAGATGGGAGGAGGAAGGAAGGGGGAGGAGGGAAACGGGACGAGGAAAAGATGGCGGCCGCAGTGCTCTAGCCAGAACGAGAACCAAACGCAGGAGGGTTGAGAGACAGAGCGGGGAAGGGAGGCGGGAGGAGAGACGCGCCCGCGATGCTCTATTCAAAGCAAGCACCCAACGCAGTTTCGGGAAAAACGCTTTCTCCCCCTTCTCCCCCCCCCGTCTCTCGTGCCCATTCCCCTCTTCCCCCGTCCCCCTTCTCCCGTTCCCCTCCTCCCCTTTCCCCTCCTTTCTCCTCCTTCCCCCCTCCACGGGGTCAGCTGCTCAAAGAAAAAGTTGTTCTCTCCACCCATCCATCCCCTCCTGCCCGCTCCCCGCCTCGCGCCCGTCCTCCCCCCCACCCCTCCCCCCCCCCGCGGGAGGTGGGACAGCGGGCCCGCCGAGTCCTGGTCGGAGGACCCCGCCGAGAGCACCGCGGCCCCGATCGTCTCGGCGTTAGGAAAGCTTGGCTCGCGCCTCGGGAAGAGTAGAGAAGAAGGAAAGGAGGAGACGAGGGACGAGGAGGAGGAGGAGGAGGAGGAGGAGCAATACCTGGTCTCCCCCACCGCTCGCCCGACTTACTCCCTCCTCCTCACTCGTGTGGCGGGGGGACGGGGCGTCATCAGGGCACTGGGAGGGCACTGACAAAGGGACTCACCGCTGGCCGTCCTGGCAATGGCTAGGGCGGCCGCGGCACCAGCCACAGCCAGCCACCAGCCACCTACACCGTTTTCGCCAGCGGACTGCACCGCTACCCTTTTCCTCCTCACTCGCTTCAGCTCGTCACTGCCCTATTGCCGCTTGCCTCCGTTTCAGCAGATTGCATGCAGCATCGCATCCGCGGACCCGTCTGCGCAACTCCACAGCGAGCCTTCTACCGTCGGCCTGCCTCTCTGCCCAGCTTGCTCAGCCCAGCAGGTCCCACCCTCCCAGCCACTGACCTTAGGCCAGCCACTTGCTGCCGCATTTGCACGCGCCTGACCAACATGCCCTGAACAATGTCCAGCTGTTCACCCTCTGCCAACCTCCCTCAGCACTCGCACGCAGCATTCGACAGCAACCTACCAGTGGTGATGGTGGTAGCGGTGGTGGGAGAGTTGGGGCGGGAAGACGACGTTTAACAAGTGAGGCCACCGCTTGGGTGGTTCAAACCTCCTTACGCCTGTTGGACCCCCGACCCAACAGCCTCTCCTCGGGAACCCTTCGCCTCGGTGGCCGAGTGGCCCCTTGGCTTGACAAGGCGTCGGGCAGGCGGGTGGTCCTCGGGGCAGGGGAGAGGCCCTCTGAGCCACCCGCCATGGCGAGCGCGCCCACCACTGCCGCGGGCACCGCCTCTGGACTGCGCAGCCCTCCCCGCGCTCGGTGGACCCACCCCCCTCGACCCCCGGTCCCCCACTGACTGAGGTGCCCCTGCGGCCACCCGGTGGCTGAGGGTCCGTCCCCTTTTGGTGGGAGTGGGGGGGCTGGGCAGCGGGGTTCCTTATGGGTTGGGGAGGCGCCCTCGCGCCATCCGTGCGGGCGAGACTGGCCGCTACCGCACCTGCTCACCGCGCCACCCACACTGCATGCCGCCGCATTGCCACCTAGCCCTCCTCTCCCTCCCTCCCTTTTTCGAGTACACTGTTGCCTCCCTCCCTAGTGTTCCGTAGTATCCCTCGTGGTTGCCGCTACGACCACATACTAGACTTGCCAGCGACTCCTGGGGCGATCGCCCCGGGAATTGTTTGGCTCAGTAGAACGATCAGCCACCCCAGGACCGACCGGCCCTTGGGTGGCGATGGCTACGTGGGACGACCTTATCACCATCAGGATCTCAGGAGGAGGAAGAGGAGGAGGAGGAGGAGGAGGAGGAGGAGGAGGCGAGGACAGGAGGAGGAGAGGATGAGGAGGAGGAGAAGGAGGGAGGAGGGGAGGCGAGGACAGGAGAAGGAGAGGATGAGGAGGAGAAGGAGGAGGAGGACGAGGAGACGAGGAGGAGAAGAAGATTAGGAGAGGAGGAGAGGAGGAGGAGGAGGAGGAGGAGGGAGGGAGGAGGACGAGAGGAGGAGGAGGAGACGAGGTACGAGGAGGAGGAGGAGGAGGAGGAGGAGGAGAAGGACGAGGAGGACGAGGAGGACCAGGAGGAGGAGGAGGACCAGGAGGAGGAGGAGGAGGACCAGAAGGAGGATGAGGAGGAGGAGTCGCAGGAGAAGCATTGGAGGACTGGAGGATTGGAGGATTGAGGAGGAGGGAGGATTGGAGGAAGAGGAGGATCGGCGGAGGAGGAGGAGTTGGAGGAGGAGGAGGAGGAAATGGGACGGGAGAAGAGGGAGGCCGCGGAGCAGGAAGGGAGAATGATCAGAAAGAGGAGGATGCGAAAGGAAGCAGGGGAGGTTGCGGAGATTGGTGAAGGAGGAGGGGACAGGAGGGATGAGGGTCATGGGAGGAAGAGAAAAGATGGTGAGGACAAGGGTGATGACGAGGAGGAGGAGGAAGAGGAGGAATGAAAGGGAAGGATGAGGAGGCGGAGAGAAGATAGGAAGAGTGCGGATGAGGAAGAGGTGAAGAGAAGGAAGATCTATGGAGGGCAGCGGAAGAGGAAGGCTAAGCAGGGTCAGAGAGCGCCAGCCTCCTCTTGCACTTCCTCCCCATCCTCCCGAGCATCATCATCATTCTCACTTCGGGATTAGGTGCAATACAATGTGATAATCATGTGCCATTTGCATCTTCATGTGCGGAGGGAATCCAACGGGGAGCTGTTAATCGGTTCGTTCGGCCCCTGCCCAGCTTGCCTCCCAGCGTGTTTCTGCGGACAACGGCGACCCGTGTCGTCAAGGCCGCGTGTGGTCTTCGATGGTTCGCAAGCGGGGGGGGATAGCCGATAGCCCTCTGGCCACGACTTTGGAAGAGCAGGACTTGCTACATAATTAGTTTAGTCCCGACTGGCTCGGGAGTGGCTGCAGCAATACAGCTGCGTGCGCCTCTTATTTTGATTGTTTGGACTCCAGGGCGTGCAGCATGGGCAGAGGTTGCCGACACTCGCAGAGGTGTTCGAAAAACGCGATGGCAATTCACCCTTATTTTATGGCGGCGTCATGTGGACCGTTCGTGAAGGGAGAGCCAGAAAACAATTGTCGTTGGGAGAGCCTTCCGAAGGCCCACCCGGATGGCAAGTGCACTGGCGAATGAATCCAGAACTTCACCAGCTGTTGCACTACACACTGGTCAACAGTGACTCTACGCGTCTTAGTGCCGACGCCACCGCAGCAGTTAGGGCGGTCCACGATTCTCAAACCCAATGTGCAATGTTGACGCCCCTAGCATCAGCATGAAAGTGTGTGTGTGTGCGTGTGTGCGTGCGTGCGTGCGTGCGTGCGTGCGTGCGTGTGTGCGTGTGTGTGTGTGCGTGTTCCGAGCAACCATGAAGTGGGAACCCAGCACCGGCGAGCCCGTTGAACGGACGAGGATTTCGTAGTGTATGGGGGCTTTGTGACCAGCCCTCGGGGACCCCTACGTAAGGGGGGCTCTGCTCGTCGAGCTGTGGGTGTCGAAGGGCAGGAGCGCTCCCTTCACAGTTGTTCGTGCGCGCCTTGGGCGCCGGCCCATCTCACCAGCCGCTTGGAACAGGCATGCCGCCATTTCGGCATGTCGCTAGCCCTTTCGGCCTAAGCCCGTCCTTCCCCGAACGCAGCAGCCGGGCACCGCCTGCCCCCCCACGCCGCGCGGACCAGCCGTGGGTGCTTCAAAGATGGGGTCTTAAGGGGACGGGTCCTAAGGACGATGTGCCTCAAACGACGTAAATTCAATCTTGGACCCTCTCTCTCCGCTTTTGAAGAGAAAAACAAAAAACATGATGAAGAAGCCTCCGCTTCAAAAGCTGGACCAGCGTTGTTGGACCGTTTTGCCGGAAGGCTGGCCCAGTTTCGCACGCTCGTCCCACATCGCCAACGCGAACATGTTTCCCAGGTTTGTTTCAGGAAACGTATGGGGAGTTGGCCCAGGTTTCATAAATGGCATGCTGGTCGATCATGAGTTCGTCTGCCGAAGATATGATTCAGGGAGCTACAAGTTCAAGAAAACCGGGCAAGTGTCCTAGAAGCTCTTTAAAGCAATATATGGACAAGTTCTGTTGTTGGCGCTGGAGCAGCGAAGGTGCTCAAGATATTGGGCCAGTTTCCTGGCAAGTTGGCTGAGAAACGCTGGCACAACTTTCGACGAGGAGTCCAGCTGTAGGACCCCACCCCTCAGGATCGAGGGTCTTTGGGTTTAGGGTTAAGGGTTTGGGAAATGTTGGTTTAGGGCCGAGAGTTTTAAGTCCTTGGTATTAGGGTTGAAGGTTGAGGGTCAAGAGGAGCGCGGATACGTCAACAGACTGGGCGCGTTATACGCTGGCGCGGAAGAAACACCCTGGCGCGCGCAAGCCAGCGGGGAAGGCCGCGCGGAGCAGAAAAGAGCGAGGCAGAGCAGCGAGGAGCATACAGCAGGAGCAGCAGGTAGGAAGACCAGCACAGGAGCGCGCGACGGCCCGTGGGAGGAGCGCGCGGCATCGCTTCGGAGTGTCCGGGGCCACCTCAGGGCGCGCGGCGGTCCCTGCGAAGCGCGCGCCGTTCTCCAGCGAGCGCCGCGTGGGCGGAGCGTGCCCCGCGCCATATTGTTGTGGACGATTGCCAAAGGCAGAACAGCCGCGCGGGCGGGACGCGCCTCGCGCCGCGCTTCGAATGCAGGATCGCGAGGGACAAGGAGTCAGTTTCCTTCGGCAGCGCGCGCGGGGCGTGGCCCGCGCCAAATTCCTGGCGGAGGACCGTGCGAGTCTAGGAATTAGCTTCGCATGGCGATGTGCGCCGCAGCACACGTTTGATGCGCGATCGCGAGGGACAAGAAAATCTGCACCTCTGGCCGCGCCCGCGGGACGCGGCCCGCGCCGCATTTGCCGTGAAGGACCGCGCGAGTTTAGGAATCAGCTTCGCGCGGCGGCTCGCGCCGCGCCACCTTCTTAGTGGAGGATCATGAGGAGTTTAGGAATTAGTAGATCCGCCAAATTTCGCTTGTCTTGGAATTAATTTAAAACCGGAGAGATAGCGTTCAGGGTGCAGGGCCTGCATTGGCGCGCGCGCTGGCCGCAATCCCCCCGCGTCGAATTTGCCGGGGGGGGGGCGCCGCCCGCGCCGCGCGCCGCGGCAGTCGCGCCCCCGCCGCAGACCGCCCAGACTAGAGCCTTTCAGGACCCAGGGCCCCCCCCCCAACACCCTTCTCGCGGGGGGGCTTTCGAGTTGCGTGCGCAAGCGATGCAGCTGAGGCGCGCGCGCCGCCGCGGCCGCGGCAGTGCGCGCGCGCATGCGCGCGCGCAGGGCGCATGGCGCAGGCGCGCAAGCTCGCCTCGTCGAGCGGGCAGCCGTTGCGACGCCGCCAGGGGGCGCGGAGCTGAGCCCCGAGAACTACCGCGATGGGTCATTCCGCGCAGACCGGCGGCCAGTGCCGAGCGAAGCGCCGGCCCGCAGGGGCGCGCGCCTCTGCCGCGCCAAGAACGTCAGGAAGAAGGGCGACAACGCGAATGGCATGCTGGCGACGGCGGACGACATCTACGAGGACATGGCGCATGATGCGCGCGGCCACTAAGGCGGCGCGTCGGCTGTGGGCGCCAGCCCGTGGGAAGGGCAAGTCCGTGTATTTTTTGATCTGGATGGGGCGCGCCCGCACCAGCCACAGAGTGCAGGGGAACGAGTTCCTTTGTATCACGGTGTGCTTGGACGGATGACCACGCCCCGTGGTTGGGCGCACCGCTCTGAGCCGCGTCGCTGCGCCCGACCGTGACCTCATCGGCAGGCGCGCGGAGCGCGGGAACTTGATTCCAGCCTTGTCAGCGCAACGCTAGGAGGCTGCCACTGGCGCGGGGCGCCGCGGGTCGCATCGGTGCCCGCATGCATGCGGCCAACCGCCATTGCTATGAGAAGCCGGGGATCTCGCCGCACCTCTGGCCACGTGCCGCGAGGCCGTTTGCGTCGCTCTACTGAGTGAAAACTACCCTTGTTTCCGCTCCTCGGCTGTAGGGGGCAGCGCGGGACAGCGATTGCAGCAGCCGCGGGGGCTTGTCTCATAGGGCCCTAGAGAGTCGCAGCGCCCGTTGGATTTCAGAAAGGCAGGAGGGGGAGCGCGACTGGGCGGGTCTGGCGCCCCCTCGCAATTTGCGCGCTAGCGTTTCGGAGTGGCGCATGAATGCGCCCTGTTGCATTGAGTATTGCGAGGGGGTGCTAGGCGCGCCCCGTCGAATTCCCCCCGCGGTGGCCCCTGGGGGTTTTCGCCCTTCGGGCGCAGCGCGTCTCAATGGCGCCCGCGGACGCAGGCGCCCGTCCGCATCGGCCGCTGGGCTCTTGAGCGGCTGGCCGGCGATTGACGACGATGCACGCGGCCGTCGCATTCGCACTCGGCTTTGGGTTTCGCCGTCGGGGTCGACCCCGCTGAAGCGATTGCACTCGTCGACGCAGCCGCCATCGGCGCGAACTTCGAGCGGGCGGAGGGGGGGCGCGAGGGAGTGGGTCACCCCTCACTACGACGCGCGCGCATGGTTGCGACAGCACCTGCATGGCGGACCTCCTGGAGCTGCCCGGGGAGACCCTTCGGGGCTCCGGAATCGCCACGGAACGCTCCTAGGGCGCCCATGCGCGCGCGGGCCGTGGCCGGAGGCTACTTCATTTTAGCGGGCGCTTGGGGTGCCCCCGGCGGTTCGGAATCGCCGCGCGGCGCGGCTGGCCTCGCAGGAGGCGAGGCGTGCTCGCGCCGCGGAGCAATCACGGCGGTAGGTTTTGGGAGCCGCTTTCGGCCTCCGCTACAAAAAGAGTTCGCCGTGCGCGAGTTGCCGGGCGACTTGCACCAAGAGCCTGGTGACGCCAACAAATACCCTTGGGATGACTTCGGCGCCCGCACCCCCAGGCTGGCTGGCCCAGTCGACGAAGATTGCGACCGGAGCACGGGTGGCGTACGCGGCCAGGACTGCAGGGTCCACAAATTCGGCGCGGATATGGACGACCATTGCTACCGGAAGGACAAGGAGCAGGGCAGCTGCATGCGGGAGTGCGACCGTGCAGCGGCAGCTACACAAGGTTGGAGCTGCGAAAAGCTCTACTGAGAGCTCCCCGCGGTCCAGCGAGATGCTTTCCCCTCGCCGGCGCACCTCGGGCCAGTACTGGCGTTTTCGGGGCGAGCGCTGATCAGATGCCCGGCCACCAAAACGCCGAAGTGACCAGCGCGGCAATGCCAGCGGGCCGAGGCGTTGAAGCCCACCGTGCTGAATCACGTCTCATCGGCTCCTTCCCGATCGCAGTGCTTTGGGTTGGGTTTCTGGGCATGCTGCAGGGAGCTCCCAGACATATTTAATCACAGTTTCGCATGGAATTTTGAAAATCTTTTGTACCGTTACCGGTCCCCCTCCCGATCGCCCTTCTGTCCACTCCTCCGTTCGATGGACGCTCCTGGCGCTTTGCACGCTCCTGGCGCTTGCTGGCCACCCAAAGCTAGAGCACAGCAGGAAGGTTTTCACACGCTGCGGTAGAGCGCGAGACGTTCCAAATCGCACTGAATTTGAACCGGCATACCCGCGCTCGTCTAAGAGGAAGGCCGCGTGTCAGAAGGAGCTTTACATGTAGGACTGGATGGATGTGTGTAAGGCAGAATCCACCCATAACCGTAAGTGCAGCAACACGAATTGATGCCAGACTTTTGCATCCTTCTCTGTGGCCAGGCCATTCCTGAGAGAATGTTGGCCAAGCCCTGCGCGCTCTAGGATTGCGAATGAAGGAGGAAAGAGCAACAGGGGGAGGGAGGGGAAGGAGGTCTGAGATGAGCCAACAGCACCTTGAGGTAGCCTAACGCTCTCGGGAGGCTTGTGGGGTA